CAGTAGTGTATGTGCAGTGTGTGTGTGTGTGTGTGTGTGTGTGTGTGTGTGTGAATTCACACACTCATTTAAACACTCACATAAGTGCAAACGCAGAATCAGCAGGACTGCATGGTCCCCTCTTGCCTCCCATGAGGTTTATAGCCTTTATTCTTCCATTCTTTCAGGAACAGATGACTCCCCTCCTACACACACACACACACACACACACACACACACACTTCTGCATCCATTAGCATTGTCCCCTCCTCTCCATCCTCCATCCATCCTTCTCTTTAGCCCTCCCTCCCTTCTCCAGCATCCCATTGGACCATCTGTCAAAATCCTGTCCTGGACTAGTCGCCCAGCTGCAACCAGGAAAGTGTGTGTGTGTGTGTGTGTGTGTGGGGTGGGGGGGGGTGAACTTTCACTGCATGCACTTGTAAAAATCCATTAAGAGTCACTGGTTAACTCATTCTGCTGTATTTCTATGAGATTATAATAAAAGCATAATAATAAAAGCAAAATCCCCCCGGGGATGCTGTGATATTGCTTTGTCTGCCGTTCTGAGCTTTCCTTTGTTTTTATCATCATATGGAAGTATAGGGAGGAGCAATATAGGCCCCATGAATGAAAGGTTCTCTGCTTTATGTCATGTTAACATATGATGCATATTAATTACATAAATTAATAATTAACACATTGTCCATAGGGTCTTAAATAATCAAAATTTTAGGCCTTATAATGTCTTTAACTGATTTTGACAAGTTTTAAAAAATTATTGAATTAGTGAAATTAACATTATTTTACATTATCTTAAATTGCATTTATAATGGTCTTGAAAAAGTCTTAAAAATCTTAAATTGAATTTACTGCAACCTGCAGAAACCCTGAATTGACAAATCAATCAGTGCATATATTTTTGCCATAAATGACAATACTGCAACAAATTCTGAAGAAAATATGTTTGCAGCAAAGTGCATGGGCTTTTTTGTCATAGTGGCTAAGACATATTGAATTTTTAATCACTCAACTATATCATGGGTCACTTATAGAGGG